CACACACACACACACACACACACACACACACACACACAAGATAATTTAATTATTTATATATATATATAATTAAAATTTCTTTGTGGAAAATAATAATTAAGGTTAATGCAAATTATTAGACAATCACCAGCCAGGTAGTCTGAGACCCTATTTATAATAAGCATGGCGTTTGTGTGGATTAAATTTACTTCTTATGCGACAAGGCGTAGGCAGTCCTGTTGGACTTGATATTCTATAGTGGAAGCCGTAACCAGAATCGTAAACAAAATACAGCATGACCCGATCCACATTAATTTACTAGTTTGGTTTGGTTTGGTTCCGCACCTGCGGCAGTCTAACGACCCATTCTATCTGGAAAAGGTTCATCAGGAACGATTTAAGGAAAGGAACAAACGAGCTGTTGTGAAGTTTTTCAGAGTAGTCTGAAAGATTATTTGACTAATTTAAAGAGCCGTGGTGCTGACGATGGCGCGGATTAGAGCAATAATAGGATTGCAAAAGTGTGGCGCAAGTCTGCGAATATACGCGACTAGTGCGCGTGAGCGCTACAGGCCACGCCGCAGATGTTCCAGATCGGCTTTGATATTCTGTGCTAACGAGAACTGGACATAACTAATTACAGGGCGAAAAACATATGGCGCCGTTATCTAATCCCTTGGATATACCATACTGATTTGTCTCTGATATGCGTAAAATACGATTGGCGGTTCTGTCTGGCGTGGTCTGCGTTGTATACTGTTTGGTTTCAGGTGCTCCTGGCATGAGAGCCAAACATCACAGCTCATTTTGGACACAGTACCACCAGGAGTGACTGCATGCAAGACATCCACCTCTTGGCTAGCTTTTTCCCAGGCTACAGCCCAGTTATTAACTGACGTGCATACACTATCAGAAAAAGGGGTGCCGATTGCACCTTTTTCACTGGGACTGTACCCTCAATGGTCTGCCAGTTTTACCCTAGCTGTAGGTAAATGTACCTTTTAGTAGAACTTAAGGTACAAAAATGGACTCTGAAGAACATCCCCAAGGTACAAACAACATTAATGTACCTTGAAGGGTACAAAAATGTTCTTCATAGTTCATTTCTGTATCTTGAAGGGTACATTTACCTACAGCTAAGGGTACAATTGGCAGACAAAGGTACAAATTGATACTTTTTTTCGGTGACAGTGTATGTGAGCTAAAACTACTTTCAGCTTTTTTAAGAAATGCAGTTTTGCACTTCAGCATCTTTATATTGGTGAATTAAGGACATGAGCAGCATCACCTACAGGCCGATAAAACGTCAGAGAGGTCTCTAGTAGCTGTTTTTGAAAAAATGTAGGTCTATATTGCACGTAGCACTGGTTTCTATTCGCCAGGGTTATGTAAACATTTGATTTGTTTATTATGACGTCGATATGGAAACAGCGCGTCTCTACCTTTATAAAGGGCACCGGTATCTAAAAAGGTGTTTCTGGAAAACCTACTCTCGCTCATGCATTATCTGAACTATGGACATTTCAGTTACAGTCATAGCTAAAAGCAGCTAGTCTAATGCTATCTACTACTGCAGCTATCTACTCCTTAAGGTCAGTACATGCAGTGTGTTCCGCAGGAGTCTCAGAGCCGATAATTTCAGCATGTATACCGATGTGCTCCAGTCGTTAGTGCGGGAGTATATTTATTAGTGTGATTATTGGAAAATAACGGCTCTAGTGATTGTGTGACATCTGTGTTTCTATCGCTATTAGATGTCTGGGTGTTTAGCTGCTCCAATCTACAATCCACCCCCAAGCTGAGCACATCCGTCATAAACCCTGTTAACAACTTTGACTCTTATTCGAGGCAACAGGTTGCAAGGACGAGCTCATTGCCAGGTCTTAAGAATTTAATTAGTGACCAGACGCCCCAGCCCCCCCCCACCCTGGCTCTTCCCACCTTCCGACTTAACATGTGACCCACGCCAGATTATCCGATTTTCAAAGCCTCCTTTCAAAACTGACTGTGGCGTTTTAAATCATACTTCAGTTCAGCAATAACCATGTTTTATTGTGCACAACCCCAGCCTTATTCAGCATAATATGTTAAAATACACCTCACATGGCTGTAATAAACACATTAATAGTAACGGTAATTACTTCTGTCGCTTTGAAAGATTTGCAACACACCTGTGTGCCATGCTTATAGTACCTAATTCAAGGGGCCCAGGTGTTATTGTGATATGTTAGCAAATTGACTGATGTGAAATTATTATTATCACGCGATATTGGGATATCCCAGGGGGCACATTAATTGCTGTGGCGTTCTAGCGAGTTCTGTCAGATAAGTCTTGCCATGGACTAGCGTTCCATGCGGTGTACAACCCGCCTTGCCCTGGCATTCCGTGCGGTGTACAGCCCAACTTGCCCTGGCGTTCTGTGCAGTGTACAACACTCTTTGCCCTGGCGTTCCGTGCGGTGTACAGCCCACCTTGCCCTGGCATTCCGTGCGGTGTACAGCCCACCTTGCCCTGGCGTTCTGTGCAGTGTACA